AAAGCACATATCTTTTCCTTTTCAATTTATTTGTTCTTCTTATACTTTGTATATGTACATTTCATGGCGGGTAAAAGAACAAAAGAAAATGGAGGAAAGAGCCGGAACCTCCCTTCTGAGAAATTATACTAGATTCAATTACTCGACTTTCATGCCCCATCGTAAAGCATGTAAAGACCTGTAAAAATTCAACAGAACTTCGAAAAGGCATCTCAAACCAAAAGTGTGCCACTCCAAACAAAAGGGAAAGGGTGTAAATGCCATGGAACGGAAATTTGAGAGCTTTTCATCTAAAATTGTAAACTTTGAATTAATATAAACTCTAACCTTCGCACCACTTTCTCCTTCCCACCTCTTATAGCGCGATTTCGCTCTTCCAACTGTTGTGGCGTTTCAGTCTGCTCTATGCGTGCAACTTTGTAACCGCGCGAAACTAGTTGGTCAGCAAACTTGCCGTAAGCTGCTTCCGGGAATCCAGCATGAGCATGGCCACCCTGAAAAGATGAGTAGAAATTAATTTCCGAATTAGTGTTATGGTGAATATTGTACCCTCATAAACGTGAGCCCAAGACATTCCACAGCAATGATGGCATCCATATGGTATGTCTCATAGAACTTCCCAACTTTGAACAATAAGACCGTGTCAAAATTCTTGCTCTTGATTGTCCACCACTGTTTGTGACCGAAAACAACGAGCATTAGGCAAACGTATAGATTGCAACAGAAAAAAAATCGAAGAAAGAATATACCAGGCGACTGATCTTTCAAGAAGTCTGCAGGTACATACAAGGTGGTAGGATCATAATCATCTTCGCCTGGACGGCGACCCTGCGCATCTCGGATGTTCTCGGGCTTAAAAGTATCAGATTGAAGAAAACAAGCACATTTATATCTACGATATCAATTTTGGGCAGGATAATATTAAAATCATGACAAAATAGAAAGAATTATAGGGTTCTGGCAGAAGAATATTAGCTTATTTTTACCTTACTTCCATAGCTTCTTTTACCTAGTGTTTCAGCTTCTATAAAGTACGTATGATGAAAATGGAGCAAAAGAAATAATAAGGTAAACCGCCAAATAAATGGTGCGAATTGAATATGCTGAACGTGATTGTTTTTCCACTTTCTTGTTGTCCTTACTAAAGAAACAAAAAAACATACTCAAATCGAATGAAAATAAGAATTAAAGTTTAAATTAACGTTTAGCGCACCTTCAAGAAGGAGAAAGTTTCATGAGGGAATTTTGCTTCTTCCACCATAGCTAACTCATCTTCTTTAGTTGACTTATGGCTGCTTGATTCAACCCGATATATCGTACGGTCCAAGGTGTCAACTGAGGCTGCCGAAACATTCTAGAAAAATCTCAGGTTAATTTCAACATTAAGGACACAAAAAACCCATATGGATAAGTTAGTAAGAAAACGTTAAGAGAAGAATCAAACACAAACACTTGTCGTACCAAATCGTCTTCACAGACGCGGAATGAGTCAATGAAGGACTCGGCTTGAGCCGTTGACAATGGAGTTGAACATTCTTTAAGAGGTCGTAATGGACGAACACTCTTTGGAGTTGATAATTCAGCAGCCATAGGTGTGGACGTCAGGATCTTGTCCTGAAGAAAATAAAAATGACTAATAACACAGCAGATGTGCTCTCAGGACGAAGAAGACCTGAGCTGGAGATGGTGTCCGTATAGTTAAAAGGTTTTCGTCTTCGTTGTCCTCTTCATCGTCAGATGAGAGAATCACTCTTCTTCTTTTAGCGGGTCTTT